CTACTACTACTTACTACAACTTACTACTACTACTACTAATACTACTTACCACTACTACTACTACTTACTACTACTACTACTTACTACTACTACTGCTTAGTACTTACTACTACTACTACTTACTACTACTTAGTACTACTACTTCCTACTACTACTACTACTACTACTTACTACTACTAGTACTAGTACTAATACTACTACTACTACTACTTACTACTACTAGTACTACTACTACTAATAATAATACTACTACTTACTACTGCTACTACTACTTACTACTACTACTACGACTACTACTACTACTACTACTACTTACTACTACTACTACTACTTACTACTACTAATACTACTACTACTACTACTACTTACTACTACTACTATTTTTATGATGTTTTTATTGGTTTGAGGTATTTGCCCTGATTTTACTCATGTACAGCGCTTTGTGATTTATATCTGTGAAAGGCGCTATATAAATAAACTTTACTTACTTACTACTTACTACTACTACTACTACTTACTACTACTACTACTACTATTACTACTACTACTTACTACTACTTACTACTACTACTACTACTACTACTACTACTACCTACTACTACTACTTACTACTACTACTACTTAATACCACTACTACTACCACTACTTACTGCTACCACCACTTACTACTACTTACTACTACTACTACTACTATTACTATTACTACTTACTACTTACTACTACTACTTATAATAATAATAATAATAATAATAATAATAGTAGTAGAAAGAAAGAAAACAATATTTGATATAGTAATAACAATAAAAATAACAACATTGAAATGATCATAAGATCAGAAACGGTGAAATAAAAACTTTTACAGCTTACAGAACGAAGCTAGACTCTCTTCTAGGTTTGTTCCTTTGCACAGGCAGTAAATATGTCCACGGCGATCTGAGAGAATCTGTTCACGGTGATTTCCTAAGCAAAAGACAGATGACCCTCCTCTAGGTGAACCTGAGGTGAGACCTTATTTCTGCTACATTAGGCCACGCCCCCATCCGAAAGCCTGGCACACCGAATCGTCTTTTAGTTTCACAGGAAGCAAGAATGAAACATTTCAGTCATCGTTTGTTAGGAAACAACACGGCCGTTTAATGTGAGGATAAACGTGTGTGGAGACGCCCGACACAGGCTCATACACACCTGTGTGTGTGTGTGAGTGTGTGTGTTGTCACTAAGGCAAAGCTGCCGTAATCCTGTAAGGGCGGATGAGTAGGCAGGCATGTGATGCCCCACTTGTTTCTTAGGTGGGAGGTCAGCTGGCGTTAGCAGCAGATGGAGAGGCTTTGCAGGGACTGATCACTCTTTCGTTCCTGTTTTTATTTGCTGTTTTTGTCGTCAGACTCGTCTCTAATAAAGTTAAGTTCGAGGTGTCCCGGGGGCGTTCGAGGCTCCATAGGCGCAACTCAAATCTCCATCTCAAGTCAATAACGCTCAATTAGCAGACTTCCTGTCCTCGCCGTCACCCTCCTGTTCCAGATTAAAGTCCTGACATTATACCTCTCAGCCCTCCTGGAGGAGCACACTCTCGCAGCACACGGCTCGTTTATTCCTCCCGCCTGCCAGGACTTTTGCCGCCGTTGTTTAATGGGTGGAAATGAGCTCCAGCAGCAACACCAGGCCGAGTCCCAGTCCCAACCTGCTGCAGGTGGACGAGCCCAGGCGTTATGGCTCCACGCTGTCGCTGGAGGAGAAGTGTGAACAGTCTTTCTTCCTCTTCTACTACTACAGGATGGAGGACGAGGCGGTGCTGGACCGGGGGGCGTCTCTGCTCAAACACATTTGCGATGAGGAGGAAGTAGAAGGTAAGTTTTATTAATTCTGTTGACGTCCTTCTGTGTCCAAAAGGTTGATTTGTTTTCCTCTGATGATGCAACAAGACCCGATCTGATGCGACGGTAACGGTGGATTCTGTTAAACGGTGTTATATAAGATTTGGTACGATACGGTTCAATGTGATTCATATATGTATGATGCTAATGTGAGTCTATGTGCAATGTGATCATTAATACATTATGATTGAGCCATGTGATGCAATGAGAAATAATAAAAATGATGCAACGGGACTCAAAAAGGTAAATGATATGATTTATTGATGTAAAATGATGCGAACACAACCTGTAGCCGAGGGTGTGATACCAAATTACACAAAACAAACGTTACGGATGATTGATTTACTGGGACTTACTCTGGGATTAATGAAGTATTTTTGAATTGAATTGAATTTATGATGATAAATGAAACTAAAATGTCATACTTTATGATCTTTTTTTTATTAGTTTAGTTTATTTCAAACAAAGAAAACATACATAATTTAAAAAAAAATACCACAAACAGAAAAAATACATATTATCCCTTCTTCTGTGTTTGAAAAGGAGTAGGCTGAAGTGGAAACTTATATATCCCTACCCCTTTATACAAGTAATTTTTACTTGTTTACTAAATCTAACACAAAACCTACATTAAAACAAACAAAATGGTACAAGTCACCAAAAACCACCAAATTATATGGAAAAAAACAAAAATAATTCTGAAAATAATTCAAAAGGATGGAATGTAAATGAGTTAATGTAAGGCAGCATGATGTCATCCTGTGTGTCAGGATCGGATGTGATGGCAGGATTTTATTAAACATTGTAAAATATTCTTCAGTACGACCCAACATGATCATTTATAATAAACGATAATATAATACAGGAGAAAACGGACGTCTGTAATTAACACGTCAGCTTCAGCTCAACTTCTGCAGATTTTTGGGTTTTATGGTTCCTTATGCTGATCAGCTGTGCCGGCCATCTTTAGTGGATTTGGCTCCAAATAATGATCACGCTTAGATTTTCAACTAATAATAACTTTCAGAGTTTTGTTAAACGAAACGACGGATACATCTGCTTTAGATAATTATCTGACGGTAAAATTCCTATTTGAAGCTTTTCTTCATTCATAAACACACCGGGTTACCGGAGCAGACAGGCTCATTGATGAAAGCAGAAGTGGTGACATTTAGCCTTTTAAAGTCTGCCAGTTGGCTCATTTCCTGCATGTACGCCTCTCAGCTCACCTATTAGTGATCTGGCACCATGAAGATGTGGAACAGAGGTCACGTGATCCTGTGTTTACCTCGTTAATCCCATCAGACACCGACAGGACAACAAATAGAATCTGCATCACAGGCAGCTAATCGGTTGTTACGAGATAAAAACATTACAACATTACTTTTACAAAAAGTGGGATTTTTTTGCATCTCGTCACCAATTAGAGTTCAAATTTGAAGAATGCAATGTGGATTTTATTATTACAAACATACATACACATATAAATATATATATGTATAAATACATATATATGTACATATGTGTATATATGTATGTATATGTATATATATGTGTGTGTACATATATATGTATATATATATATATATATATATGTATATATACACATATATATAGTGTATATTTATATATAGTGTATATATATGTATATACATATATATATATGTGTGTGTGTATATATATATATATGCATATATGTACAGTGTATGTATGTATACTATGTATGTAGGTATTTATATATATATACACATATATATGCACACATATATATATATGTATATATATATATATATATATATATATATATATATATATATATATATATATATACATGCATACATACATAGTATTTTTATCTTTATTTCTATTTCTATTATTATATAACATTTTCTGACGCTCTGTAACTTCTGTCTGTGTTGTGCTGCTTTTTTTGGAAACCGAATTTCCCAAAGGAACTCACCCGAGGGATTAATAAAGTTCTATCTTATCTTATCTTATCTTATCTTATCTTATCTTATCTTATCTTATCTTATCTTATCTTATCTTATCTTATATATACTATGTATGTATATATATATATATATATATATATATGTGTGTGTGTGTGTGTGTATATATATAGATATATGTGTGTGTGCATATATATATATATATGTATATATATATATATATATATATATATATATATGTATATATATGTATGTATGTATATACTATATATACACTAATATATGCACACATATATGTGTATGTATATATATATATACATATGTATAAATATGTATATATATGTATATAAATATGTATATATATGTATGTATGTATGTATAAATATATATATATGTGTGTGTGTGTGTGTGTGTGTGTGTGTGTGTGTATCTGTAGTAATACACAACAACAGATACTAAACAATATTCATGAAAACACAATATATAATACTAATGAATATAGAAAGAAGAAGCTGTCAAGAACATTTGCCAAGAAAAAAATGTAATAAAGTGTTTTATTCTTTCATTTTAAGTTCTTTAATAAAACATTTACATACTTTAATGGTCTTGCATCAAGTCACATAGTAATAACAATTAGATACTTTTTATTTGAACATATCAACAAATGTATTTGTTTATTTGTTTATGTTTATTTCAGTTCCTGACGTCTTAATCGTGGGTGATTAAAATCCGCTCCACTAGTTAACCTGTCAGTGGAACAGCTGAGAAATGTTCATCTCTCTGCTGTAAGATGACGCTGTGCTCCCCTCTGGCCCGCCTCTGGTCCTTAATGAAACATATATCCATTAGCCAGGCTGCTGGAGCAGTACTCATGTCATCCCCGACACCGTCCAGGACTTTGGGTCACCAGGCTGCTCCAACCTGCAGTAACTTCATCATCATTCAACTTCATCATCAGAATGAGCTGTTTGTTATGAGCGTGTTGTGGCTTCAGCACGATGCTGGGTCCTGGTGGCGCTTCGCCAGCCTCTCCTCTGGTCCGGGCAGCTCCAGCATCGTTGTTTCCAGGGAATCTGGCGCAGGAGTTGCCTCTGCTCAGAAATCTGGCTGAACAAACGTCCCGGAGAGCAGGCGGCTTTAATTTCGCTCAGTGTGTGCTCACAGGCAGCTTCTAAAGGTGTTCTTCATCCAGCTTCTCCCCAAAAAAGAGAAGAGGAAGTTGTTTCACAAAGCCGCAAATCTTCCTTTCTGGCCCTTGACGCGACTATTTTTTATTCCTTCTACTCCGTCGCTCTGCTCTGTCTTTGCTTCTGTTGGTTCTGTTACAGCTCGGCCATCGTGGCTCGTTTTTAATCCTGAAGAATGACGTTTAAACTGAGAGTTTGGCATCAACAGCATCACAGGACTCGCTTGTTTCTGGTTATCGTGCTCTGAAAACGTTTGGCTCCCAGTTTAAAGTAAAGACGTTTATGCTAGCAGCTATTTAAGGCGAAGGTCCCACACCTGTGCTGTGATGTCATCAATACTCTAGGCTTTGTTTTGGGATTAGACCAGTGGAGGATGCATTTAACATCCCATTGTTGGAACATTTAAACCAAAGAACGAAGCCTGGTGTTGTTGGATTAGGATTAGCTGTTAGGAATTCGTCCCTGATTCTCCAAACTGAGGTGGTGGATGCTGCCGTCTGCAGCAGGTAAGACGCTGACTGATCAGAGCCTCTCCAAAAATCTAATTAGCCTTTTAGAACAGGTGAGATGATTTCATGATTTTCCAAAATCTCCACCAGAGCTTGTGGTATGATCAGGGGATTATGGATTTTAGTCATGAATGTTTGTGGCGTGAGACAGGACTGTTGCTTTTAGAAATAAAAATATCAACAATTATAATCTGATCTATCATTAGACTAATGCACAGTCGGACCTAGAAGAGCGGTGATTGGTTAATAAGCTTGACATTTTTACCATCCTGTATTGCTAATAGTATATATTTATATTTATTTGTCTGAATACGCTTTAAGAAGCTTAGCTTTATTTTCTTAGGAACAATAATGGAAGGTTTTACATTTTTTAAGAAGTAGAAGAAGCTGCTGCTGGCTGGGCTTGTCGTGTTTTCTTGTTGTCATAACAACACGGGACAGGTGCCATCTAAGACGTGATGAGGGTGATCCTGGCCGGGTCTCCAGCTGGTGCTGTTCTTCATCCCTCTTTGTTTGAGTTTGTCTCTCTTTCTCTAACATTTTCTCTACACAACTATTCATGTTCATCACCATCGCTGGTAAATGGTTAATGGCCTGTATTTGATATAGCGCCTTCCAGAGTCCTGGAACCCCCCCAGGCACCTTACAACACAATCAGTCATTCACCCATTCACACACACATTCACACACTGATGGTGATGAGCTACGATGTAGCCACAGCTGCCCTGGGGGCGCTCTGACACAGGCGCCACCGCTCCCTCCGACCACCACCAGAAGGCAGGTGGGTTAAGTGTCTTGCCCAAGGACACAATGACAGCAACAGACTGAGTGGGGCTAGAACCTGCAACCTTCCAATTACGGGGCGAGCACTTAACGCCTGTGTCACAGTTGCCCCGCTGGACGCTGGAAACGTCTCTCCCGATGGAGTGAGTCCTCATTGGATCCACCGTCACGGGATCTGTCCCGGTGAAACCTACCTAGATTGGGTTGATTCAGACTCCATCCATTCTTTTGGGATCCATCTACTAGATCCACCCATCGTTACAAGATTCATCCTGATTGGTTACGACGCAGAAATGCACCATTTTAAACCCTCGGCGTTAGTGTTGTTAGCCGCTGGTTTCAGTGAATTTTGATGAACCCCGAAGAAAACAAAACAAGCATGGAGTCTTTGTCTTTGGACAGAATAATGAAGACCTTTGTTCCTTTAGAGAGGTGATTGTTTGTTGAGTTGAGAGGATGGGACTCTTCCTGGTCGGGTCACGGCCCGTGCTTGGCTCAGCTTGACTCGCCCGGATCCAAAAAGAGGTTTGACATGGGCAAAGAGCACTTCAACCACGTGGCCTGACAAAAATCTGTAAAAATCCCACAGTCATCATACTGATGACGACATTTGTGACTGAACGTTTGGAAATCTGACGTTTGTTTGGGGTGATTCCTCCTCAGGTTTCACTGATTCTTGGAAAAACAACATCTGAGGAGAAAGCTTTAGTCTGCATAAAACCTAAAGACAGGACGTGCGCAGATCCAGAGTCGGCCCTTTGAGATGGTCCAGCGGGAAGTCCCACTCAAAGATCTTTACTGGTGTGAAAATGAGCCAACAATCCCAATAGAGATCAACGAAAACATAGTTTAAAGCCATCAGATGGCTGATTTTGTTGCAATAAAACATAGAAGCTCCTAGTTGACAGATGTGTAACAAACCTCTGGTTTTGACGTTGAGTTAAAGGCTGGAGTTGTTGGCAGATCCTCGGATGTTCTTATAAAAATAAAATGCTTGTTTTCTACTTGCTAGTTTTGCAGAGTTCACGTTTTAAAGGAATTTGCTTAGAGTTTCTTAGGGGCATTTTCAAACAGCTTCTAGAAGTATTCCTGATTCCTGACACCAACCCCTTACAGAACAGGTGTTTTATCCATGTTTGGAGCATTTATGGAGGCAGCAGAGACCCACCTGGCAGCATGGAATGATGCAGACAGTCTGATTTAAACATGTCCCCTTTGACTGTCTACATTTAGACTTATGCCCATTTCATCAACCTGTTCTAAGTTGTTCGTGCACAATACTAGTTTACTAAAGTAATCCAAAAGGATGGTGGGATTAGTATTAGTTTATATCCAGACATCAATATTTAAATATCAAAAGGTTATTTATGCATAAACTCCTACTAGATTGATCTAAATGTCAAACACGTTTGACATTATCTTCAATTTACAAACCCTCACATACCCTGTCAGTCCAACCCTGCAGTGTCCTGCAGGGAAATTACTTTTTGAATTTATGACATTGAAGTTTTAATCTGTGAAACTACATATTTTAATTTTGTAACTTAAAATAACCAGTAAGAATTTAACAAGAAATGAGGCGACCTCCTGGTGACAACCTGGAGACCACCTGGCGACCTCCTGGAGACTATCTGGAGACTACCCGACGACCTCCTGATGACCACCTGGCGACCTCCTGATGACTTCCTGGAGACCACCTGACGACCTCCTGGAGACTATCTGGAGACTACCTGATGACTTCCTGGAGACCACCTGACGACCTCCTGGTGACCACCTGGAGACCTCATGGTGACTACCTGGAGACCACCTGGCAACCTCCTGGAGACTATCTGGAGACTACCTGACGACCTCCTGGTGACCACCCGGCGACCTCCTGATGACCACCTGGCGACCTCCTGATGACTTCCTGGAGACCACCTGACAACCTCCTGGTGACCACCTGGCGACCTCCTGATGACCACCTGGCGACCTCCTGATGACTTCCTGGAGACCACCTGACGACCTCCTGGTGACCACCTGGCGACCTCATGGTGACTACCTGGACACCTCCTGGTGACTACCTGGCGACCTCAAGGTGACTACCTGGAGACCACCTGGCAACCTCCTGGAGACTACCTGACGACCTCTTGGTGACCACCTGGCGACCTCCTGATGACCACCTGGCGACCTCCTGATGACTTCCTGGAGACCACCTGACGACCATCCTGGTGACCACCTGGCGACCTCATGGTGACTACCTGGACACCTCCTGGTGACTACCTGGCGACCTCATGGTGACTACCTGGAGACCACCTGACGACCTCCTGGTGACCACCTGGCGACCTCATGGTGACTACCTGGAGACCACCTGGCGACCTCCTGGAGGCTATCTGGAGACTACCTGGCGATCTCCTGATGACTTCCTGGAGACCACCTGACGACCTCCTGGTGACCACCTGGCGACCTCATGGTGACTACCTGGACACCTCCTGGTGACTACCTGGCGACCTCATGGTGACTACCTGGAGACCACCTGACGACCTCCTGGTGACCACCTGGCGACCTCATGGTGACTACCTGGAGACTACCTAGCGACCTCCTGGTGACTACCTGGTGACCACCTGGCAATCTCCTGATGACTTCCTGGAGACCACCTGGCGACCTCCTGATGACTTCCTGGAGACAAGCCGGCGACCTCCTGGAGACCACCTGGCGACCTCCTGGTGACTACCTGGAGACCAGCCGGCGACCTCCTGGAGACCACCTGGCGACCTCCTGGTGACCTCATGGCGACCTACTAAAAACCATCTGGCGACCGCCATGCAAACTCCTGATGACTTCCTTGAAACCTCATGGCGATCACCTGACGACCTCCTGGAGACCACTTGGACCTGGTGAAGTTTGGAGCTTCACAAAACCAATGAAACCAGTAGTCCTGCAGGCAGTAATGACATCTTCTCTCTAACGTGATGCTTCATTTTTAGTCCAAACGTTTGTTTTTTACAGAGTTTTACCACCCTTAGACCTCTGTGCTTCTCTGTCTTAGACCTGTGGTGGTAGAGGTGGTCTGGATCAGGTTCAGCTTTGGTCTTAAACATGTTATTATCACTGAGTCTGGATTTGTCAGGACGTAGAATTCACCCCCTTTTGTCCTCCTTGGCAGGCCATCACACCATCTACATTGGCGTGCGTGTGCCTAAGAGCTCTCGACGTCGGCGGCGTCACCGCCGGAGACCTGGCAGTCACAAGGACAGAAAGGAGAGGCTGATGGAGAGCGCCTTTGACAAGTCGGACACCGAAAACAACGATGAGGCCAGCAACAGCATCCTCAAACCTCTCAGTAAGTTCTGATGGACTTCACGTCTCATCTGATTAGAGTTCATGTCTGTCTCAGCTGAAGGCTGCTCTCTTTTCCTCTAACTTCCTGTGACCCCAATAAATGTTGCTGAGTCCGCTCGGTGTCCAGGAGCAGGTCCTGCTGAGCTTGGTGCTGACTGACAAAGGGGATTTTTATTGGATTTATGGGTGCACAGATGCACGCTGCAGCTTTGATCTGATTATGCAACAATAGTGACGTTATTACTCAGCAAAAAAAACGTCATTTTCTTATTTCAAATCTAGTCAGGAGGCGGACCAGCGACATTTCCAGAAGATTCTGTGCTCACGTAGAAATCCAATCTGTAGAGATTACAGCCACGATCAGGGTGCAAGTCCACCTGAACAGAGTGGTCTTACAGGTGCTGGCACATGTTCATTAATTAGGTAGAGACTCGTGAAGACTCGTTGGGTCAGTGTTTTCCTTCTAGCATGTAAGCCATGCGCTCTGCACCGTGATCTCCGTTGCTGTACACGAGGGAAGAATCATTGTTTAATGTAAAGTTTCATTCTCTACAAACTTTAATTACAGCAATCCAACGAGACAGAGCCTGGATTTGTATTCGGAACATTTTAAACATGTTTTAAAAGGAGATGTGCCAGAAAGCATCACCTGCTCTACAATAAAAACCACTAACGGGGTGAAAAATTTCAAAATATTGTTGGATCAGATGGGCAGCAACTCCTGGGTCAGTTTTGTACTAATAGTTTTATTGATTATCTTCTGTTGAAAGATGACTTTGACGTACACGAGCGAACGGTTTCGGCTGCTGCCACCTGTTGTGATCGGTTTAGCAGCTCTCGGCTGTCTTAGGGTGACTCCACGGCTGCTGCGGCTCCCAGTGTTTTCCTTACTGTGGGAAACGGGTAATTGTGGCTCCTTGATGGGAAAAGGTTGCCGACCCCTGGGAATGGGTGAGAAGCTCGGTCATCCGGGAGGGGCTCGGAGTAGACCCGCTGCTCCTCCACATTGAGAGGAGCTAGTTGAGGTGGCTCGGGCATCTGGTTAGGATGCCTCCCTGGTGAGGTTTTCTGAGCACGTCCAACTGGGAGGAGACCTGAAGAAAGACCCAGGACACGCCTGAGGGACCAATTCTCATGGCTGGCCGGGGAACGCTTTAGGATTCCCTCGGAGGAGCTGGTCCGGGTGGCGGGGCAGAGGGAAGTCTGGGCCTCTTTGCTTAGGCTGCTGCCCCCGCGACCTGACCCTGATAAGTGTAAGAGGATGGATAGATGGAAAATATTGACACACTGAAATGTGATTTTGTGTTTTCTGATACTGAATCAAATATAAAGCAATGCGTTTATTATTGTGTTAAGAATTTCCACACAAACATTTACTGTATTTCTTCTGGGAGGTGCAATTAAACCTTTTTGTCCAGATGACGTTTTTCTTGTTTTTGATGAATCGTTTCAGTGAAGCATTCACATTTTTTCACCACTCACTAAGCAGATCTTCTTCTCTTCCTAGGAGACGTGCTCTTAACATCGTATTTGGACTGGTCACAGATCACAGGCTAACCACGACGAGCTTTTTCCTTTTTGTTTTGCTCATTCCTAAAATACATAAAAGCCAAAGAAAAATATTTTTAGCTTGGATCAAACCTGCGTGTGACCAGATTAACTAACCCTAAACAAACACCTGGCTTTGTTTACACAAACATGAGTAACTGGTCATTCATGGAAAACACGGCCATGTTTGCATGAACGCGCCTAGCTGGCGTCCCGTTAGACACTCAGAGCTGCGGGTTACAGAGGAACCCTTAAAGCAGTGAAAGTGTCGGGATCCAGCTGTTTTTATTGCGTGTGAGCAGACTCCGGTACGTTGTAGTTGGGCTCAAGTCACCTGATTCCCACGCTGTTGACTTAGAATGAACTGGCTTTAATTAGATTTTAGTGTTAAAATAATAATAATAAAAAAAACTTTAGGCTTTTTTTCTCCTAGTCTTTTGGTCTAAAACACCGGAGAGTTAGCAAGCAGATCGGCACGGGAAAACGGGAAAATGTAAGCAACTTCTGTAAGAGTTTGCCTGTTGGACGTTGTTTCTATTTCTCACTAATTGAACAAACTCAATGACTTTGGTTTCATCTCCATCCATCCATCCATCCATCCATCCATCCATCCATCCATCATCCATCCATCCATCCATCCATCCATCCATCCATCCATCATCCATCCATCCATCCATCCATCCATCCATCCATCTTGTATCCATCCATCCATCCATCCATCATTCATATATCCCATCCATCCATCCATCCATCCATCATTCATATATCCCATCCATCCATCCATCTTGTATCCATCCATCCATCCATCTTGTATCCATCCATCCATCCATCCATCATTCATATATCCCATCCATCCATCCATCCATCCATCCATCTTGTATCCATCCATCCATCCATCCATCATTCATATATCCCATCCATCCATCCATCCATCTTGTATCCATCCATCCATTTTGTATCCATCCATCCATCCATCATTCATATATCCCATCCATCCATCCATCCATCCATCCATCATTCATATATCCCATCCATCCATCCATCCATCCATCCATCATTCATATATCCCATCCATCCATCATTCATATATCCCATCCATCCATCCATCCATCCATCCATCATTCATATATCCCATCCATCCATCCATCTTGTATCCATCCATCCATCCATCTTGTATCCATCCATCCATCCATCCATCATTCATATATCCCATCCATCCATCCATCCATCCATCCATCTTGTATCCATCCATCCATCCATCCATCATTCATATATCCCATCCATCCATCCATCCATCTTGTATCCATCCATCCATTTTGTATCCATCCATCCATCCATCATTCATATATCCCATCCATCCATCCATCCATCCATCCATCATTCATATATCCCATCCATCCATCCATCCATCCATCCATCATTCATATATCCCATCCATCCATCATTCATATATCCCATCCATCCATCCATCCATCTTGTATCCATCCATCCATCCATCCATCATTCATATATCCCATCCATCCATCCATCCATCCATCCATCCATCCATCCATCCATCCATCCATCTTGTATCCATCCATCCATCCACCCATCCACCTATTCATTCATTCATTCATTCATTCAGCCATTCATTCAGCCATCATTCATCCATCTATCCACCCATCATCCGTCTGTACCTGAATCCTAGTCTTCTGACTGAAGGTTGGAGATGAACTTCTTTACTGCAGGTAAGATTTGTCTAGTTGTGTCTTCAGGCTCTTTAGGCTGAAAAGTTAAACTTCTTAGAAATAATTCCAGTTTTGTTCCATTCCTCCTGAAGGAATTCTTTAGTTCTTTAACAGGAAAACATTTTAAGACATTTAGAAATTCAGCGTTCATTTAAAAACTTTATGAATGTTAGAAATTCCCACTAAAAGTGTCCAAACCAATCCCAGAGTGAGATCGTTATTATCGAACGAGAAGGGAAAAACAAAAAATCATGTTTAATCTTGATATTCTCAAGTTCACCTTCAGAATAAGAGTCCAGGCGGTTTGAAAGTTCACTGAACTTTTTTCTTCACTGACATTTTCATGATTTGATCGTTTAAATCTTCAAACAGCCGACACCCCTCTCCCTGGAAAACATGGCCGCTCTCGAGGGACGGCCCTCGTCTGTCTCGGCTGAAATCCTCTTGTTTGGTCAGATGGACGCTGCAGGGCTGCATGTGTCCACTCTGCTGCTGTCTGACCCCTCTTCATTTTGATGACTGCGTTCTTTTTCAATCCCGTTCCCATCTTTTCCACTAGGATCAAATGTTCCCTCTAAGTGGATTGCGGAGATTATTGTGGTTTTTGCTTGGACTGAAATGGGTTTAATATCTGAAATCTGAGGAGAATAAGCTTTGATTTAGTTTGTGAACATACTTTGACTCGGTCAGGGAGATCTTTGGGGATATTCAGATGATTGAAACTGTGGGGGTCGACGCTGCTGCAGCGTCATCTTAGCCTGGTTTACAGCGTTGGATTTGGTTTGATGATCAGGAGGCTGGAGCTGCTTTAGGCTGGCAGCTTCGGTCTGGATGTGAGCCGTTTCTCTACAGGAAGCTGCAGGACTGAGCGCTGTGATGTCACAGAGACTCACTTTAAAAAACAACACTTTTTTCTGTCTCCTTTGATGTTTTTATTGCTTCTTTATAAAAACAAGGTCTTAGAGTTTGTTCACCTGCAGACATCAGCGTTCATTTCCTCACATCAGAAGTTCAGCTGTCCCAACAGAACCAGAACCAGAACTGGATGTTCTGGGCTGTGACCGGACCCCCCCCCCCCCCTCAGGGGCGTCGTTCTGCATTCAGACCAGTCGCCGTTCGCTGCTGCCCTGCATGCAGAAGCACCAGGAGAACATTTCCTGTGCTTTATCCTTAGGATGAGACAGCATTATTATTATGGGATGTGGGTTTAAACAGTAAACAAGCCGCTTGATCTCATTCATGATTTGTTAGTGTGGTTTTTCAGAAAGCTCGGAGCACATGGGCAGTTTCTGTGTGGGATGGATATCAAGACTGAGCGGGCCGTTGGTGGCAGTCACACTGAGCTTTCTGCCGGGCAGCAGGCATTCTTCCTCCGTCCCGTATCCCATGAGCCTTTGCGGCTGGGACAAAGTCCTCTTTGTGCGCCCGTGGCTCTTGGCTAGAGCACACAGAGCTCAGAAATTGCATTTCAACGATGGGATTTCTCATCTCTGTTCATGCCTTTGGTGCTTGCTCTCACCCCTTTTTGCTTTCAGTGAGTGCTGAGAGTCCCCCCCCCCCCCCCCCCCCCCACACACACACACACACACCTCCTAGCAACTAGCTGAGTGGGACAGTGAGACTGTGCTGGCTACCAGATGCTGCGTTTTGCTGCGTGGCATCAAAACGCAGCATCTGGAGGGGACGAGCAGGTGGAAATGAGAACAAATATGTCCTCCAATAAATA